ATATATATATATATATTTATTTATTTATTTATTTATTGCTAAAATTTGCAATCAAGCAGGCAACTTGCAAGTAATCTTTTGAGGCTTGCAAATAATTAGGCGTCTGGACATGCGATTTCATATCATGATACGAAAACAACATTTGAACATGCGATTTTACGCTGATTTCATTACATGATTTTATATCATGAGATGAAATTACAAATTCTCCAAAAATCATGATTTGAAAATTTCAAATCATTATTTAGGATTTTTCAAATACAAAAATTGATCTACAAGTAGGGGTGTACAAAACCAAATCGAACACCGAATCAAATCGCAAATCGAGTCAAATCGGAAAAAAAACCCGACTAATGGTTTGGTTTGACTTGGTTTGGTATTGGAAAAAAAACCCGACTATACTTGGGTTGGTTTGGATTTAACTAAAAAATGTCAACCCGAGACCAACCCGACATTATATATATAATTTTTAAAATTTATTTTATACATAAAAGTATTTACTTTGATGTAATTTCTAAATATTACTTATAAGTTTTCATAATTTTTATCTTTTAACATATCTATTCAAGATTTTTGAGACTTATTATTTTGAATGGTCCAATAAAGGTTATAGTCCATAGATATTAGTAACTCTAATAAAGCTCAATTTGAAATAATCAATACTATGCTAACAAAATAAATTAATTCAACACTAAGAATGACAATAATGTTGAATATTTGTTCTTTAGTTTTACATTGGTTTAGACATTTAAAATACATAATCTAATTTTATTTTTTCTTTAATGTTTAATCATGTAACTAGTACTTATTAGACTTATTTTAGCATGATTTAGTACTTTAAATTCTGATCATTTTCATTACGACTTTGTAATATTTATTTTATATAATGATTTTCATTTATTATTTTTTTATTAAATATTTTTAGTGTCATCACTTCATCTCATATTTTTGTGTTATTTTCTTAAGAAACACCTTAGATAGTTGTATTTTGGTTGGACTAAAGAAATATTAGGAGCACAAGTTAATTATATGTTTGTATGCATAATTTATCGGAAAAATTCAAAAACCTGAAAAAATCTGAGGTTTATGAGTTTGGTTTTATTTAAAAATTTAAAAATTCAACACAATGGTTTGGTTTGGTATTTGAAAAACCTGAACCAATCCGAATTTGAAAACCCCCGAATTTTATTAGTTTGGTTTGGTTTATAAATTTAAATATTTTACACAAATGGTTTGGTTTGATATTTGAAAACCCCGAACCAACCCGATCATGTACACCCCTATCCACAAGTTTATATTTTGTTAAAAAAATCCATATTTAATTTATATATATCTACTAGCCATTTGTTTCATAGGTAAATAAAAATTATAATTCATATCATTACTTTTTAAATCATTTTATCTCATATAACGATTATTCTCTCCAAATATCAATTATTCTTACTTCAAATCTTAATTTACCATTTTTATTCACCAAATTCATTATTTTTTATCAAATTTTTTATTACTTTATTTAAATCAATGTTTAATTAAAAAAAATTATTAGTATATTAAGTGGACAAGATTAACCACTGTGACGTTAATTAAAAAAACAATTTTCTTAGCCACTAACTTGAACACTACAACTTATGTTCAATTTTTTTAAATTGAATTAAGGTTTGATCAATAAATGTTGAATTTTTTAGAATAGCTTTGTGATAGTGTATTTTGTGATTTTATATTTTTTTTTTGCTTACTTGGAAAGATTGTATAAAGAACTGGGACAATTTTAATAAGTTTTGCAAATTATGGGGTTTATGTTTATGAGAAAATATACGATATGAAAATTCCAAATTGCATGTCCAAACAAAACTTTAACTTCATTTCATGATTTTATATTATGATTTCATATCGCATGTCCAAACGACCTAAAGTATACAACATCACTTATAGAACAACAAAAATTTGATTTTGGTTTAGTTCAAAAGAATGAGGTCTAATTTAAATTTTGATTTAATCTACCCACAACTTGTCCCACCCCACATTTGATTTTCAAAAAAAATTGTTTCAACCCATCCTTCTCGTTGCCATTTTTATGCCAAATTATCTAGCCTAAAATCTGTTTATTAGGAAAACCATTTAAATTTATTTGAATAAGGCCTACAGCAACCTAATTAATTCAATTAATGTTTATTCATTAATTATGATATTGACACAAGAGAATAGTAATTGAAATAACCAGAGCAATAATAAGCAACAAATCACAAATACAATAGACAAATTAAAAAATCTTATTCGATGTTTCAGTACAGGAACAAATTTTTATTGAAGAACTGTGTTGAACGACTGAGGGTTACACAGAGAATTAGATGGTATACTATTCATCATCAGATAATCATGTTTCAAGTATTAACTGTCTTCATTACCACATGTCACTTTGTTAATATCGGATGTACGTATTTTTGTATTGTATTTGAGTCTTAAATATTAGTTTAGGAGACTTACGGATTTCTCCATAGTAAGAATAAATATGCAACAACCATAACTTATGTCTTCGATCATCAAAAGTCTCACAAAGCGAATGAACTTCCTTTGTCCACAGTTTAGATATTCAATAGGGTTGCATAACATTTTTCTTCACCAGTAAAATTTTTATGCGAGCCTCGCAAACCATAATTGTTTCCAAATCTAGATTTAAGGGGAAAAATTGCAATAGGTTGATTGAATCTTTTTTACGATGACACATGTCTGGGGTATTAATTTGGAACCTCAAGGTGATTTTAAATTTATCTAACCTCTAGTGTCGTGTTTGGAAAATTCAAAATATATATATAACATAAAAAACTACCTTATATATAAAAGGCAGAATGGTCTGGGAGACCCTCGTACTTGTCTCATTTTGTCACCTTAGCCCTTCTAATCTAGACCTTGCCAACTAAACCCTCGAACCCACTGAAATCCAACATTTTAAACCCTTTTTTTGACCTGTCATCCTATGTGGCAAAAGTAGTTCAAGTGCGTGAATTACACCCACTTTAGGAGCGTGAGATGCTTTTAAAAAGCCAATAACGGTCATTTTTGGCCATCTTCCCCAAATTCCCCTAATTTCTTCTTCAAATATCCAAAATGTCTTCTCTTTCTCACTCGTTTATCTCTCTCCAAAATTCTTCACTCCAAATTTCTTCTTCTTCTCCATAATTGATCAGGCCTTTTTTGTCTATATTTTATTTTTCTCACCTTTTTCTTACTTGTTAATTTTTTTGTTCTTCACAATGACTGTTTGTTTTTGCTATTGTGGGCTTCATGCTGAACTTAAGATGTCAAGAACATCAACAAATCCAGGAAGAATGTTTTGGGGCTGTCAAAAATACACAAATGGTAATGGATGTGGATTTTTTCGATGGGCTGATATGGCTGATCCTACCTACCAAGAACAACACTACATGAAGAATCAATCAACAAATGTTGATCATGGAAGGCATAGGCATGGAAGGCAGGGAAGGCATGGAAAGCATGGAAAACATGGGAGGTCGAACATTAGTATTGATATCAGTGTTGCTGTGATTGTTGTCATTTGGTTTCTATCTTTTGTATTTAAGATGTATTGATGATTTGTTCATTTGAGTACTATGATAATGTATGAAAATATCCAGATTAAGACTTATAATTATCATAGCAAATTCATAAGCAAAAATAACTTGTTTGTCATAGCAAGCTAACACAATAGTTGAAAATTAAGTTAATAGTGGAAAGTATCATAGACAATGTCATTGAGAATTTAGCTAGGCAAAACATGAGTCTTTACTATGAAATTTATGTATCTTGAGTGCTTGGTGTGGACTGAGTGGCTCGCTTGTAACTTTGTTCTTGTAGCTGCCTTTGAGTAACTGCAGCTCCACCCTTCCACCTTAGTCCATTGGGTTTGTAACCAAGATCGATATTGGTAGGCACTGAACTCTTCAATGGTGCACAATGTAACACTTTATCAGTAGTTGCAGACTGTTAAAAGGCAAT